TATTCTATTCTATTCTATTCTATTCTATTCTATTCTATTCTATTCTAATTCTACTCTACTCTACTCTTTATTCTGATATTCTGTTTTATTCTTATTCTTATTCTATTCTATTCTTCATCCAAATATCTATGCTATTCTATTCTTATTCTATTCTATTCCATTCCATTCTTAATTCATTCTACAATTATTCTATTCCATTCATATTCTATTCATATTCAAATCTATCCTATCCTATCATATTCCATTCCATTCCATTCCTTACTCTACTCTACTCTACTCTATTCTTGATCCAATAAATGGAATTTAGTCTTTACATCATGGTTATCCTGCTCCCAGTCCATGGCCCAGTGTCAGCACGCAGCCCATTTGGAACCGAATTGCAGAAGTGACAGGCAAGAGAATGTGTGCACTCGTGTGAAATTGTGTTTGTGAAAAGCAGTGTGTGCATGAAACCATCCCTGAAAAGGTTGGGGACCACTGCTTTACATGGCAAGAAAGAGACAAGAAAAAGAGCTCACCAATGTCGTTTTCAGTTGGGTTGAACACGGAGTAGTCAGGATGCATGATGTACTTCTCTATCTTAAATTCCTGAGTGATGTCTGTTGTTTTGTTGAAAAAATGTTGTCCCAAAACAACATGGACGGTTGACGTCAGCGGGCTGAAAGAAATGAGAAAAGCCCTCTTAACGGCACTGTCAGAGTTCCAGCAATTGCCCTAATTACATCATGAGTCTCAAGCTTCAAAAGAATCCAAAAGATTGATTAGGAGCAACGTGTCCAGCACTAACCCGTATGAAGCCAACTCTGAGATGCGTAATTTACTATCACCTAAGACCCTGTTTTCCCTCACCTCATCCCAGGTGTGTCCTAAATCAGATTCTCCAATTCATTCACGGCTGGGTATCATCAATTACACTCTCCAATGAAGGATTTTTGAGGGCAGAAGATCCAGTAGCCAAGGCTACAATCTGTTCTGACCCACGCCCTTTTCCAAAAAATCAAACACAATCCAAAGGGAACAGAAACCTTTTAATGCTTCTGCAAAATAATTAGCTGTGATAAGCACAAGCCTTGCCAAACTGTGTGAGACTTGCCAAAAGATAACAGACGAGAAATAATTTGCAATACAAGAATCTTCCAATACAAACTCAGGATACTGGAATGTCCACAAGGCTGGAGGCTCAAAACGTCTTTGCCTTCTACAAAGAACATTCATTTCACAGTTGGCTTTTCTCTTCTTGAAGGAGGGGCCATTACCTTGCAGCCTTACTCCCAAGTCGCCCGTGCTGTTGTAGCTGCTCTTTCCTATGAGCAATCCTGCGCGCACGCGCACTTGGCACAGGCTCCTCGGGAACCTCCTCATCGCTGCTGCCAGCCCCCACAATCTCTGAAGGCAGCAGTCCACTCCCTAATGGTCCTGGCCCCTCATCTGAGTCCTCGCTCTCCTCAGCCGTCCGCACCTGCTGCCGGCTAACCACAACACAACCTTTATAAGTTAAAGTCTTATAAAATCTTTATAAGTGTGGAATGTGCTTCTGGGTTTTTTTCTCTCTTTGGTATAGGTTTCTCCCCCTCCTTCTTATGGCAACTCAGAAACAGGCATAGGAATGCTTTACGAGTTGACAGGCATCCTATCCTGAGCCTTCACCCCACTGTATGGGCAGTTGATCACTGATCCAATCTTTCTCAGAGCCAAAGTGAGGAAGGCAAGGATGCCAATTCCAACATCCAAAGCTTTCTGCCTGGGCAGAAGGTACCAAGATGCAGCCTTCCCTTCCTGCTTCTCTGCCTGCTGAGTGATGGGGCTTTGTGCTTCTCCTTCCTCCTTGCTTCAGTCCTCTGGGGTCTGAAGAAGAATATGAGCAGAGGTGGCCATATGGTGGGGTCTGAAAGTCAAGATGGCCACCGCAGCCATGCAGCGCATGTTAAAAAGGGGTTGGGGTTGGGGGTTGGGAGTGCCCGCTGGGGCTCTTCTGTCACCCTCCTGCATTCAACTCTGCCCTCAGTGAGGTAACTGGAGGATATCCTTGGGAACTCAGCAGGAGCAGAGAGAGAAGGAGGAGGAGGAGGAAGAAGAAGAAGAAAAAGAGGGAAAGGAAGAGGAGGAGGAAGAAGAAGAAGAAGTTGAGTAGGAGGAGGAGAAGGAAGGGGAAGAGAAGGAGAAAGAGGAAGAAGGGGGTAAAGGAGGAGGAGGAAGAAAAGGGAAAGGAAGAGGAGGAAGAAGAAGGAGAAGAAGAGGAGGAAGAGGAGGGAGAAAGGAGGAGGAAGAGGAGGAGGAAGCTGGAAAGAGGGGAAAAGAAGGAGGAGGAAGAGGAAGAAGAGGAGGAGGAGGAAGAAGAAGGGAAAGGAGGAAGAGGAAGAAGAAGAGGGAAAGGAAGAGGAGGAGGAAGAAGGAGAAGAGGAGGAGGAGGAGGAGGAGGAGGAAGGGGGAGAAAAGGAGGCGGAGGAAGGTCTGGACCATTTTGGAGCTCAGGGAAATCATTTTCACTGGGCCCTCACCAATTGGCTCCCGGAAGATCTTTGAAAGAAATTCAGAGTTTGAGACCCATCAACAAAGCGAGGGGCATTACCTGTTAGCGAAACAATGGGCCGATGTGACCAGCCAGCAAGAGCGAATAAGGCTTCCGGCACAGAAATTCCTGCCGACGTTTATGCTGGCCAGCCAGGGGTGGGATCCTGGCAAGGCAGAAGATCCCCCCACAATTCTGGGTCTTACAAACTTCTGCTTCTTGTGCCTCCTCCCACACGACTTCTTGATCATGGCAAACTCATCCACAGCTTCTGGGAGAAAGTTTGGCGGTGGCGGCAGCAGCCTGCGCCCGCTTCCTGAAAGAAGGGTGAGGAGAGGGAATCTCTTATTTCCTGACTGGATTTTCCTTCTGTTTGCTTTTCAGAATGTTGCTGTAGGAGGGAGAGGGCGTGACGGCTCAGTGGTTAAAGTTGCTGAGCTTATCTGCTGATAGCCTGGGTTCGAGACCCGAGCGCTGCGCGACGGGGTGAGCTCTGTCCTTGTCTCATCTCCAGCCCAACTAGCAGTTCGAAGGCATGCAAATGCGAGTAGATCAATCGGTACCTCTTTGGTGGGAAGATAAGAGCGCTCTGTGAGCATTTGACATATAGCCATGATGGCCGCATGACCATGGAAAGGTCTTCGGACAATGCTGGCTCCTTTCATCTAAAAATGGAGATGAGCACCGGGTCCTACAGTCAGACACAACCGGACAGTGAATCTTTTACTGTTATTCTAGAAGAGAGGAACCTGTCCTTGCTAAGCCTTCTGTAATACAGGCAGTCCTTGACGTACGGCAGTTCATTGAGTGACTGCTCAAAGTTACCACGGCACTGAAAAAAAAGAGACTTAGCACCTTTTTTTCACACATACGACGGTTGCAGCATCCCCCTGGTCACCTGATCAAAATTCAGGCGCTTGGCCACTGATTCAGATTTATCACCATTGCTGTGTTTCCCCCGGGGTGGGGGTGGGGGTGGGGGGGTCAAGTGATCCCCTTTTGCCACCTTCTGACCAGGAAGGTCAATGGAGACTCCAGATTCACCTCGGTTATATGTGGACATTTACCTTATACACCTAAGAATATAAAGAGCAAGACAGACTCCATGTTTGCTCTTAATTTGAACTTTAGAGATCAGAACATTTATATAACTTGTTATGAACGTGTTTATTCTGCTCAAGTTATGTAGAATTGCAAAATATTATGTCCTCGGCTTGGTCTGAGATGCATAAAGGGTTGCCCTGACATTATAAGAGTTATTAATGATCTCTTGTGTTAATCTTTTAAGTAGAAAACAGGAAATCTGATGATAAGTGGTGTAGTGGAGAAAGTTGCGGGATTTCCATGGATCTCTCATGAGAATCTCCGTAATTTCTATAGGTGCAAAACGGGAAGTGTGATGTAATCTTCTAAACGTGATAATCCTATATAAGGATGTATTTACTGGAAGGGGGCGACTCCTTTCTCTCAAACTGCGGTCTGGGAGATCGCGGGTCGGTATCGCAATATCTATTAATTAAAGCCTGTTGCGGGTTCTGATTATCACAGCCTGTTGTTTTATTTTTATCATGATCTCACAACCTCACAACCATGTTATTAATTTAACAAATGCAACGATCCGCATCGCCATGGTGGCAAGAAAAGTTGTAAAACGGGGCCAAACTCACTTGGCAAATGTCTCACTTAACAACAGAGATTTCAGGCTCAGTTGTGATCGTAAGTCGAGGACTACCTGTAATGAGGAGAGACTGACCAGAGGGATGGTATGGGAACAAAGATTGATATTGACGTGACACTGATTGGTAACTGTAGGTTTTTTTTTAAAAGTCTACTATGATATGTAAAATTACATATTGAGGATTATACCTGTGAAAATAAGAAAATATAAGTAACACCATATTTACCCTATCAATGACCTATGGCAATATTACTGGAATATTAAGTAACAATTCTATCAATGTTGTATTAATCACAAAAACAAGGTTATTTCATACTCTGGAACGTGTCAAATTTTGGCAGGTCACAGACCTGGCAGTACACACTGTTTAATGTGTTATTGTATGCTAAAATTAAGAAATGCTGATATTCATACCAGTATCCTAGAATAGACAATCTGCCAAACAGAATATAGGATACGCCAGTGGTGGCAAACCCTTTTTGGCTCCCTTGCCTATAATTGCATGTGCACTCATGCGCTTACATTTGCATGCCAGCACCCAGAAGGTAATGTGTGCTGGCCCACCCCTCCTGCGCATGCGCACATGATCCCCTTGCCACGTGCTGCACATCTGCGCATGCGTGTGTGATCCCCTGCAGTGCGCTGGGCATCTGTGCATGCATGCATGATTCCACCGCTGCGCGTTATGCATCTCTGCACCTGCGCGCATGATTCCCCCACCACGCACAGCACATCTCTGTGCATGCGTGTGTGATTCCCCTGCTGTGTGCCATGCATCTGTGCATGTGTGCGCGATCACCCTTCATGCACCACACATCTGCACATGTATGCACAATCGCCCCTCCATGCACCGCGCATCTGCGCATGTGCACGTGATCACCGCCCTGCTGTGCGTCTGCGCATGTGTGTGTGACCTCCAGTGCATGATGCATGTCTCTGCACATGCACACATGTCTCCCACGCATACCCCCCGCACATACACGCCAGATACCCGACAATCATCTGTCGGGTGGCAGCGGTGTATTCACATGCGCAGTGGGGCTCTTCCAGGTGAGCTCTCACATGCTGGGGGAAATGGCTCTGCCTGCCACTTCCGGCACACCTGCCATAGGTTTGCCATCATGGGGATACGCCATAAGAGATGGAGTTATCTGGAAATGAGATAAGTGAGTAGGTGGCGACTACTGGAAAATTACCCGTAGGAAACAGGATAAGGTGACAAGATTAACAGAATCTTGTATGCAGAAGTGTATAAAAATCTCCAACCTGCCTGTGGGAGGGGTCTCCTATCCCTCTCATTTGAGGGAGAAGGGGTCCTGGCCTTTGCAAATGCTAAATAAACAAGCTCTTTATCGTTCCTGGTCTCCTGTCCCTTTTTGGGTTATTACCACATCTACATTTAAGAACACATCTGTCCAGTGGTGGGATGCTGCTGGTGTAACAACCGGTTCAGTGATCATGCGCTGTGCGAGCGCGCACACTGCATGTGTGTGGACTGCTTTCTGAAAAAACTTACCTGCTATGCTACTACTGGGGAGTAACACAGCTGAGGAGTGGCAATATGCTCTGCCGCACGAATCAGCTGAGAGGATATAAGTAAGTACAGCGCAAGGGCTGGCGGGCGGGCCCATGTGATTGTCCAAGTGAACCGGTTCATGGCCAGCTCATCGTTGGAGCTAATGGTTCACCCGAACCAGTCCAAGCCGGTAGACTCCCACCCCTGCGCCTGCCCATTATTTGGGCTAATTTCGCGGTGCAACCTAAGTTGAATCCTGTGATTTACAGGTTACTTACGGCATGATGACACATTGCAGTATCCCCAAGACAGCCCGCTGTCCTTAATGAAATAGCACCATGGCTGCTCGTCCTCATCTGGACTTCTAAGGCATTGGAAAAAGTGAAGGAATTAACTCTTTGAGCAACCCGTTGACTTCCAGGCTGGATGTCTTCTGGTTTTGTTAGGAGTTCCCGCCCTTCAAATGTGGATTTGACTTAGGATTTGCTAATGTCAGAGGGAAGGGCAGGGAAAGGACTCTAAAATGGCTCCTCGGTGTTTAGGAGATGCCCAGCTATCTGTGAGGGACCTCTTTGTCATTGAATATATGGAGAGATATATGGAGAGAAAGAAACGCTAAAACCAAACAATATACCTTTTACTCAAATAGACATTTATCATGGTCCAGAATAGACATGATATGGATGTCAACAGAATTAATATCTAATATTCAGGAAACAAATACTGAAACAAGTACTTGGGCAGACCACAACCCAATGACAATTAAATGGAAAGGACAAAAAAGAAGATCGAGATGGAAGTTAAATAATACTATTTTAAAGGAAAAAGACTTTACTCAGCGGATGGAGAAAGAATTGGCCTTTTTCTTTAGAGAAAATAAAAAAGAAGATACATCAATTCAGAATGTGTGGGACACAATGAAGGCATACGCTAGAGGCTTGATAATAGACTATACAAGGAAAAGGAATATTAGGAAAAGGCATGCCATACGGTTCTAGAAGATGAGCATAAAAGACTTGAAAAAGAGCTACAGAAAACGCCACAGAAAAAGGACATCAAGCTAAAAATGGATATAATTAAACACAAAATGGGTCAAATAGAGAAAGAAGAAATAGCACAGAAAATTAGAGGTGCTAAACAGAACTATTTTGAAGATGCAAACAAACCAGGTAGATGGTTAGCATATAGATTGAGAAAAGAGAAAGAATCATTGTCTGCTATAACATCTCGCCTGTCAACGACAGTGGTGGGATTCAATTTTTTTTTTACTACCGGTTGGTGGGCCTGGCAGGGGAAGGATACTGTAACATCTCCAGTCAGAGGTGGGATTTGCCAGTTCTCCGAATTATTCAAAATTTCCACTACCGGTTCTCCAGAACTGGTCAGTACCTACTGAATCCCACCTCTGGACTTCTTCAGCCTCAATCACAGTAATACGTGGGCAAACAACCAAGAGAAACTCAAGATACACTGCTCCAAACTCGATTGCTGAAAATACAACTTCAGCCACAGAGAACGGTCAACGCCCGGAATGCCCTGTCAGACTCCATTGTTACGGCCTCAACCCCCTCACAGCTTCAACCTCAAACTGTCTACCGTGAACCTCATCCCATTCCTAAGAGGTCCTAAAGGAGGCGTGCATAAGTGCACCAACCTGCCTACCGTCCCTGTCTAACTGTCCCCATTTATCTGTATTTACTTCCTTTGCTCTTGTTTATATGTTCATACTTGTTATCTTGTACATGTTTGACAAACAAAATAAATAAATAAATGAAATTAATAAATCTGGAGTGACTTTGTGGGACCCCCCTCCTCCTAATTCCCTCCCTCCAAGGGCCACCCTAAGTGGTACCTGGGGTCTCAAGTCACTGAAACCAATTCTATCTTCTCTTTGCTTTCTCACTCTTTGCCTCACTTGGCACAATCCTCTTTCTTGGATCATGGTCTTGCCAGCAATTTAGGGAGTTTGTGAACCGATTATGCTGTATACAGCAGGGGTGTCTGGGACTTCAACTCCCAGAATCCCTCAGCCGGCCATGCTTCACTTGGCTGAGAATGCTTGGCTTGGCTTGGCTGAGAAGCTATCATTCTTGGATCATCAGTGCTACTAAGGGGTGCTCCTCCGCAATACCGATAAGCAAGCCAGTAGAACCGTGATGGTGAACCTATGGCACGCGTGCCACAGGTGGCACATAGAGCCATTTGTGTGGGCACACAAGTCCCAGCCAAACTTACCTGCACTGTGCATGTGCGTGCCTCCCAGCTGATTTTTAACCCGCTTGAGGCCGTTTTCATCCTCCCGGAGGCTCAAAGGAAGCCTCTGCAGCCTCGGGAGGCCGAAAAACGGGTGTTCTGGAAATACCGGAAGTGCCAAAACGGGCCCGTTTTCAGCCTCCCGAGGCTGCAGAAGCTTCCCTCAAACCCCCGGGAGGGCAAAAACAGCCTCCCCTAGGCTGCAGAGGCCCTTCAGAGGCTGAAAACAGGCACTTCTGGTATTTCCGGAAGGCCCATTTTCCGGCCTCCCGAGGCTGCAGAGGCTTTCCTCAAACAGGCCAAAAATCAGCGGGGAGGTGCGCGCATGGACAGTGCATGTAAGGGGGTATGGGGCAGAGGTGTTGTGCGTGCATGTGCAGGGAGGGCTGCATTGCATTGTGGGTGCCGTCCTGTGCACGCATGCGCTATCGCGCACGTTCACACTTTTGGCACACCACAACAAAAAATGTTCGCCATCATTGCACTAGAATAGAAACTGACAGCAAACTCTACTCCTAACTAGCACAGATGAGTCATGAGCAATGAAACATCTACAAGAAAACAAGCAAAATCAGAGAGCACCAGGGCCCCTCAAAGACTGTATAGACAGGACTATTATTCTGATGTCTTAGTCTGAGCTAACTTGCTTCTTCTAATTTTGGGGCAATCAAGAATAAGTCCATTTCTTCTTTTCTGCAGCAACCCTTTAAATATTTGATATTTAATCAACGTGACAATTTGCTCATCCCATGTGCAGCATAGTCACACTTTATTTTCATGATCACACTTAATTGGCTTGTCAGAGGTACAGGAACAATCATTAGAATTTATAGGACTAGCATTCAACGGAGACCCAATGGATGATTTGATCTTAAATTCTGAGAAAAGCCATGACCTGGATGATTGACACCTACTCCAAACTGTTCTTACAAAGGAGTTACATCTCTGGAGACTTACCGGCAGTAGGAATGGGAGCCCAATCCCAGCTGCACCGTGTTTGTTTGAGGGTCGTTGTAGGAGAGGAGGTCGGAGGTCCATGGAAGGCAATCATCTCCAGAGACGGTCTTCTTGGCCAGGCCCAGGTAATTGGTCGCATTACCCAAATAACAGCTTTGACTTGGAGCTGATGGAAGAAGGAAAGGCAAAAGATTCAAGTCCGGGCCAAAATAAATCAATCAATAAATTGATCGCGCACTATATAATATAATGAATATATATTTTCTTTTTCTTTTTTCTTTGATATTTTTATAAAACTTTATTAAGATAGATTTGGTATGATCTTATGAATTGTTGTAAAATAATTAAGTAAATTATAGTTATCTCGTTAAAGTATGAATTAACAAAATTATAGTTAAATGATTTTTCAGTAATGATACTAGGTTATACAATTGTTGATTGATAATATGAGTTATTATGTAATATAACTATAACGGCGTCTAGGAAACGGATGCACAAAAAAAAAGTGGTAAGCCAACCGATACACTGTTTGTAAATCTATGAAGGAGGAGGATGTTTTTATGTTTTATGTTGTATGTTTTATGTGGTTTTGTTTGTTGTTAAAATCAATAAAACTTTTTTTTTAAAAAAATAAATACATTGATCGCGCACTCACCAAACCGGACGTTACATCAGTTGAATGCCACCCACTGTTCCAACTTCAAATAAAATGTTCACTTGGAAGATCGCCCTTTAGGAGTTACTCAGGCCAAAAAGATACAGAGAAGTGGGAGAGGGGGGGGTGTGAACGCGCGCATTGTTTATATCCTCTCTTTTTTTGTAGTAGAGGTAGCCCTCGACTTACAGCGCTCCATTTAGTGACCGTTCCACAATGGCATTGAAAAATGTGACTTAGGCTCACCCAGGTTGCAGTGTCTCCCTCTGAAGAGGTGGCTGCACATGCAGATGGTGGTGTCCGAGAAGAGCGTCCTCCTGCAAGAGCGGCTGCCCCGGAGCAGGCAGGGGTCGGAGGGACAGTCTGCAAAGGGAGGGAGCCAAGCACAGGCCAAAGGGGGCCCCTTAAAACCGACATTTCCCTGATAATATACAAAGCACTGAGAGCTACGCCAGGAACTGGCGTTTCTGTGGATGGTTTTTGAGACTTCTCTAGCTACCACGAAGGAACCTTTGAGGAATCCTCACCTGCAGAACCAGGTTTAGGTGTTTTCACTTTAAATATTGGGAAACAGCCAGCCAATAGTGAAATGTGTCATTTCTCTTGTTTCCTTCTTTTCCTTCCTTCCCTCCCTTCCTTCCTTCCTCCCTCTCTCTCCCTCCTTCTTTCCTCCCTCGCTCTTCCTTTCTTTCTCTTTTTTCTTTCCTTCCTTCCATTCCTTTCCTCCCTCCTTCTTTCTTTCTCTTTTTTCTTTCCTTCTATTCCTTTCCTTCCTTCCCCCCTCCCTCTTCCCTCCTTCCCTTTCTCTTTTTCTTCCTTCCTTTCCTTCCTTCTTCCTTTCCTCCATCATTCTCTTTCTTTGTCTTTTCTTCTTTCCTTCTTTCCTTCCATTCCTTTCTTTCCTTCCTCCCTCTCGCCCTCTTCCCTCCTTCCCTTTCTCTTTTTCTTCTTTCCTTCCTTCCTTCCTTCCTTCCTTCCTTCCTTCCTTCCTTCCTTCCCTTCCTTCTTCCTTTCCTCCCTCCCTCTCTCTTTCTTTCTCTTTTCTTCTTTTCTTCTTTCCTTCCATTCCTTTCCTTCTTTCCTCCCTCTCTCCCCCTCCCTCTTCCCTCCTTTCCTTTCTCTTTTCCTTCCTTCCTTCTTCCGTTCCTCCCTCCCCCCTCCCTCTTTCTTTCTTTCTTTCTTTCTTTCTTTCTTTCTTTCTTTCTTTCTTTCTTTCTTTCTTTCTTTCTTTCTTTCTTTCTTTTCTTCTTTCTTTTATGCTGGCCAATCACATAACCCTTTTTAATTCAGCACCTCTCCTGCTCTACTCATGCCTCCTGAAAGGGTTACTCACCATAGAACGTTTACTCGCTTAGAAGAGCAACTAAGGTGATTAAAGGCCTGGAGGCTAAAACACATGAAGAACGGTTGCAGGATTTGGGCTTGGCCAGTTTGGGTATAAAAAGGACTGGGGGGGGGGGGGATGATAGCAACATTCTAGTACTTGAGGGGCTGCCCCAAAGAAGAGGGAGTCAAGCTATTCTCCAAAGCACCAGAAGGCGGGACAAGAAACAAGGGATGGAAACTAACCAAGGAGAGAAGCAACCTGGAACTAATTCTAGCAACCTGGAATTGAGGAGAAACTTCCTAACAGTGAGGACAATTAACCAGTGGAACAGAAGTTGCCACTAGAAGTTGTGGGTTGGAGGTCTTTTGAGAAGAGACTGGACAGTCACTTGTCTGAAATGGTATAGGTTCTTCTGCTTGAGTAGGGGGTTGGACTAGACAACCTCCAGGGTCCCTTCCGGCTCTATTCTGATTGATGGATCTCTTTGCAATGCATCAAAGGAAGCATTCTAATCAACATTTCCCCGGCCACAATACCTGTATACATTTCTGGATGGCAGTCTATTTTGCCGTTAACACAGGTGCATGCTTGTATTGAGCCTTGGTAGATTCTGGCCCAACTGTCTCCAACCTCAAAGTATTCATACAGAGTCTCATCAAAGCATTTGGCTGCAATGGAAGGAAGCATAAAAGCCTTTAGTCTCTGGACCACAACGTCTGCAATCAAGAGCTGTAAAATCGGTTTTTTCATCCTGAAGCATCTTCCCCCCCACAGCTTCAACCGTACAGCAGGTTTACTTCTGGTCATTTGTAAGAAATCAGAGGGTTGTTGAACACACCTTGTCTTCAGAGGATGGACCAAAAGAGGGTACTGGTGGAAGACCAGTATCTGTTGTGGTTAGCCGGCAGCAGGTGTGGACGGCTGAAGAGAGCGAGGACTCAGGTGAGGGGCCAGGACCGTCAGGGAGTGGACTGCTGCCTTCAGATATTGTGGGGGCTGGCAGCAGCAATGAGGAGGTTCCCGAGGAGCCTGTGCCAAGGGCACGTGCATGCAGGGCTGCTTGCAGGAAAGAGCAGCTGCAGCAGCATGGGCGACTCAGGAGTAAGGCTGCAAGGTAATGGCCCCTCCTTCAAGAAGATAAAAGCCAGCTGTGAAATGAACATTCTTTGCAGAAGGCAAAGATGTTTTGAACCTCCAGCCTTGTGGACATTCCAGTATCCTGAGTTTGTATTTGAAGATTCTTGTATTGTGAATTATTTCTTGTCTGTTATCTTTTGGCAAGTCTTGCACAGTTTGGCAAGGCTTGTGCTTATCACAGCTAATTATTTTGGTAAAAGTATTAAAAGGTTTCTGTTCCCTTTGGGTTGTATTTGATTTGTTGGAAAAGGGCATGGGTCAGAACAGTATCTGACCCAGCATCGCCTGGGAAAGTTGTAGGGGTAGCTGCCTCGGTTTCCTGATGGCATTTGAACTGTGAATGAGCTGAGTCCACCCTTCCCTCCTGGACCATTTCTGGGACGTAACGGAGGCTAGTCAAGAACCCTTCAGAAGGGGCGGTTGGTGGAGACATCATGGGAGAACTTGGCACAGCCAACTCACCACTGACAACTCACTGCGTGACAACTTGCTGCGGGACAATTTAACAATTCAATTTCATGATTTAAAATAAATAAATACATATCTTAATGTTTGTTAGTCACATTTCATTCTGTCCCAACTCTTTCATCCTTTTTTTAATGATTCTATTCCACCATTTCTTTGATATTAGTGTAACTCTTGTCCCGCAGCGAGTTGGCTGTGGCAACTTGACCATGGCAAGTTGGCCATGATGAGTTGACTGTGAATTGACTATGGCAAGTTGGCCGTGATGAGTTGACTGTGGTTGATTGACTATGGTGAGTTGGCCATGGTGAGTTGTTCATGGCAAGTTGGCCATTATGAGTTGGCCATAATGAATTGATTATGGTGAGTTGGCCGTGATGAGTTGGCCATGGTGAGTTGGCCATGGCGAGTTGGCTGCAGTGAATTGTCATGGACCCAGTGGAGAATCTCAACTAACCAAGCATCCATGAATGTCCATCTGCCACAGCATGCAATACAACTGAGGAAGTTTCCAGGATAGGAAGAGAAACGCTCTCACAAAACCAGCCCAGTTGCAATTTTCAAAACAAAAGCCATTTCTGAGACTCAGCTTACCAACTTCACACTGTTTCCCCATGAATTCTGCAGGGCAGATGCAGCGTTGAGGACATTGGTCACATTCCCTGAAACAAGTGCCACCATTTCTACAAGGGTTACGTCTGCAGTCATGGGGAACGTCTACACAAGAAAGCAGTCAAAGAGCAAATCAAGAAAGGCAGCAGTGGATTGGCCCCGTATATGAATGAACAGCACAATTGGAAAGAGGATTGTTAGGCGACACCAAGCCACGATCAGGTCTTGGAGGCCAGGTAGAGAATTCTCCTCTAGGGTGGTTATTCACTGCATTGGTCTCCTCTGTCTGTGGATCCCTTGGCGGTTTTCTCTTTAGGGGTGGCCTTGCCATGACAATTCTAACTCGCTTCCTTCTTTCTTAAATAACTTTTACTGAGGAAGTGGTTTTTTTGACAGAGCTAAAAACTGTACAAATCTTGAATGAAAGAAGAACAAAGAAAGGTAATAAGGAGGAGGGAAGGGAAGGGAAAAGGGAAAGGAAGGGAAGGGAAGGAAAAGGTAGGATAGAGAGGGGAAGGGAAAAGAAAGTAAAAGGGAGGGGAAAGTAAGGGAAAGGGAAGGGAAAGGAAGAATAAAGGGGGGAAAGGAAGGGAAGGGAAAGGAAAGGAAGGAAAGGGAAGGAAAAGGTAGGATAGAGAGGGGAAGGGAAAAGAAAGTAAAAAGGAGGGGAAAGTAACAGAAAGGGAAAGGAAAGGGAAAGGTAGGATAAAGAGGGGAAAGGAAGGGAAAGGGAAAGGAAGGAAAGGGAAAGAGAAAGGGAAAGGAAAGGAAGGAAAGGGAAGGAAAAGATAGGATAGAGAGAGGAAAGGAAGGAAAAGGAAAGTGAAGGTTAGGGAAGGAAAGAAAGCAGGAAGGGGAAAGGGAAGAAGGAGAAAAGAGGGCAGCTCAGCAGAGAGCTGCATAGGAGGCAGAGGAAAGAGTTAGGATATCCACTGCCTAGTTAGTGTCTCCTGGGGTATATCTATCAGGATAAGAATAGTAAGAGTTTAGTCTGGCAAGATTCTGTCTGCTGTGTGCAAGCAAATAAAGAATTAAATTCTGACCGGATTGTTCCATGTCATTCTTTTTGGTGCTTTGGTGTTGATAGACTTCATACTGAGGGTTGGCTGTTGTCTTAATGCCTGCTTTTATTTCCTCCTAGGAATAATAGCAATGCAAATTTATTTTGAAGAAGCAATTTGTCAGAGTAAATTGTGTGACTGGTTGACTTTTCCCTCCACGTAAACAGATCCTCTGTCTCTTGCTCTCTCTAAAATGTTTTTCCGAAAATTCCGGAAGTGACGAAACGGGGCTAGTTTTCATCCTGCAAATCCTGCAGAAGCCTGCAGAAACCTTCCTCAAGCCTCTGGGAGGCCGAGAAAGGCCTCAAACTGGTGAAAATCAGCTGTGAGGCGCAGTGCAGGTAAGGGGTGGGTGGGAGGTGGGGATTGCGTGTGCATGCACAGGGGGCATGGGGGGCATGCATTGCCTTCTGGGTGCTGGCACGCAAGTGCGAGTCTACAAGTGCGTGCACAATGTTTGGCACAGGAGCCCAAAAAAGTTAGCCACCAGTGATCTAGGGCCATGATGGCAAACCTTTGGCAGATGTGCCAGAGGTGGCATGCAGATCCTTCTCAGTGGGCACTCCTGCTGTCGCCAACTGCTCTTCTGATTTCTGGCGTGCATGTTTTGGAAAACAGCCCGGAAACAGCCCGGAAAATGGCCAAAAAAACAGGCATTCATGCACCGGCCAGCTAGTCTTCAGTTTTCCGGCACTTCATGCGTATACACTCAGTGCCTAAAAGGTTCACCCTCTCTAGTCTAGGGTGCCTTGTTTGAGCAGGGGGTTGGACTAGAAGACCTCCAAGGTCCCTTCCAACTTCGTGGTTGCTGTTGTTGTTAAATCTCACTCATTATCCCGCTTCCGTATTTGGGAAGGTGAAGTTTCCAAGCAAGCTGAAGGATGCCATGGCGCTGGCCTAGAGAGATGGGAGTTCTTGCCTCACAATCAGGAGGCTGTAAGTTTGATCCTAGGCAGAGGCTAATATTTGGAATAACGGACTCTCCTGCTCAAGCAGGGGGGGTTGGACTTGATGACCTCCAAGGTCCCTTCCAACTCTGCTATTCTATGATCTATCATTTAATAGAAAGAGGGTTGAAGAAAGAGAAGGTTCCGTGTGAAAGGGACTCGGGGTTTCAGAGACCAGTGAGGCGAAGTCTCCTGCAACTTCCAGAGGGAAAACAACCCTCAACTTGTTCCTGCAGTCCGAGGCCGGTGTCCTCCCTTGCTCTCCTCGTGTTGGTCAATCAATCATCCATCACGTCGTCATTATCATCAAAGCCATTGGGACAGAAGGGGAGGGGGAGGAATTCCCGGAGAAGGCCTGTACTCTGAAACTAACTTGCCAAACTTTTATTTTATTTTGTTTTCCCCTCCCCCCTGTTTTTAATCTCTTTTTAGGGAGAGGTTCAAAGGATGAGGAAACCCATTCTTCCGGGCAACCCCAGCCAGGTCTGAGGGGCAGGCACAGGATTGCCTCCAGGTTAATCCTCGACTTACAATGGGTTCACCTAGTGACCGGTCAAAGTTACAGCAGCACTGGTAAAACTGATTTATGACCAGGGCTGCTAACGGTTCGCACTGGTTCAGGCGAACCGGATGTTAACTTTTAACATCGGGTTCACTGAGTTGCGATGACTGGCTGGCCCTACCCACCCTTCCCCTCCCCTCCCAGGAGTCTCAATGAGGCCCATTTTGGATCCCAGGTAAGGGCAGGGACTGCGTGGAGGATCAGGGAGGGCAGAAAACAGGTGTCCCAGAATCTCCAGAAGGCCAGAAATGGGTCTGTTTCTAGCTTGCGGAGACCCTCCGGAGTCAGGGGAGGCTGTTTTTGTTCTCCTGGAGGATCAAAGAAAGCCTCCGGAGCCCGGGTAGGGTGAAAAACAGGTCTCGTGCCATGGTGCAGGAGGCTGACTAGGCCATGCCCACCATGCCTACCCAGCAACCAGGCAGAGAACCAGTTGCTGATTTTTTTTGCAGCCCAACCCCTGCTTACGACCGTTTTTCACACCATTTTGGCAGCCTTCCCTGTGGTCACACAATCCAAATTCAGAGTCTGGGCACCTGACTCGTGTTTACAACAGTTTGCAGTGTCCTTGTGGGGGGGGAGTTGTCATGTGATATCCTCTTTGGCAACCGTCAATGGAGGAAGCTGGATTTGCTTAACAACCGGGTGATTTAACTTAGCCACCGCAGGGATTCACTGAAGAATGGAGGCAAGAGAAGGGATCAGATGGGGTGGAGGTGTCAAAATGCAACTTCTCACTTAACAACGGAAATTTTGGACTCTGTTGTACGCCAAGGGTTGCCTGTATTTCCTTCAGGAAAGGATTTTGGTCTCCAGATGAGAAGACCTGCGTCTTTACCAGCTTCATCAATACAAGCCACCTGCTTTGTCCAATCTTTCCGAATGTGTGACTCCAGGTGTCTACCTACCGCAGACTCCATTTCCAGGTTGTAATCCGAGGCAGTCCTCGACTTACAACCGCCATCGAGTCCAACGTTTCTGTTGCTAAGGGAGACCCTGAGTTTTGTCCCATGTTTTTATGACCTTCCTTGCCACCGTGGTTAAGCAGTCCTGTATACTGAATGGTCACTAAAGAAAGCATTTGTAAGTTGAGGTTGACCCTTTATCTACTCCTGTTAGAAGGATCTGGATCTCTGTAAGAAGGAGAAAATCTGGGCCACAAGGAACATTTCTTGGAAGACATCTTTCTCTTCCCGCTATCCTCCCCAAATTTCTCCTTTTTAGGACTCCAGATTCAGCCAGCAAAAATGTGAAAAGCAAGCAGATATTACATACACTTACCGGCCCAGTAGTAGCGTTCCTCAGACCTGAAACCAGAGCAAGTGTCATGGAAAAAATGTAGATTTTCATTGTCTTCTCTTTCACTAATTTCCTGTCATGCCTCTGTTGGAGACTGACTCTGAGGGAGAGGACAAACAGATGACAGGGAGTGGAGGTGTGGCTCCGGAGGTTGTGGCGGAGGTCAGGGAAGGGCAGAGGCCGGCTGGGCAGTCAGAGGAGGACCCAGGCACATCTCCTATCTATCCTAGGACACGCAGGGAGGAGAGGATAAGGAAGAGACGTGGTCTACTTGGGATGAGATGGCCTTGATCCTCTTCATGGGATGCAGGTGTGACAACGGCATAAGAATTTGGACCAGCATACTGGCAAACGCTGGAAACAAAGCGTGTTTTATTTTGGTCTGAAGTTATCTTGGTGGGTGTCTTCCAACAGACTGTGCCTTGTTATCTCCTTGAATTTGGTAAATACTTCTCTTGTTCCATTGTGGAAATTTTGTCATTGTAGTTTGTTCGTTTTTTTAATTTCACCTCTATCTGCTCATTAAATTCGGACTGTATTGCTTTCTCTTGAAGATTATTTTTGAGTACGTTTTATCTCCAACTGAGAATTATTGAACAGTGGGGCCAAGTTGGAGGCATTAAAGGACATTTATTTACATTTTGGATTTCGTTATGTTTGTGGTACACTCCGGGTCATCACATTTCCCTTTCTTTTTTTTTTTCTTTTAAATACAAAACAACCTTGGGAGCTTTTCCTAGAGTCTTTGTATCTCAGGACTGAAGGATCAAATGGGAACTCAAAGCAAGATGGGGACGCATGCTGTCAAATGAATTTACTTCATTTTACGATGAATTTCACTTCTGCAATGACTTCCACAAGGGTTAATGATTCACCTGCTCTATGTACCAATTGTTGGGAGAGAAATGGAAGATTGCGGAGAATCGGAGAGGATCAATATTTGCAGAATGCATCCGTTTCCCCACTCCACTTGTTCAGAATGAATTAACAATCCCACCGGCTTCAATGGATAATTAGGACTGCAGAAAATAGCAATTGCTACCAACCTGCCTTCCAATTGTATTAATGTCTGATGTACAGTGCGGATTCCAGACTGATGAGCTATATTCGAGTACAAGTCTAGCAAAAGTTTTGTATGCCCTAGTTAGCAATTCAATATTTCCAGAGGAGAAGCTTCGTAAGATTAGATTTACAACTCTTAATGCCTTTTTGGCAATGCTGTTGCAGTGAGCTCTGGGCTTAGGCTTTGTTTATGAATAGAGCCATCTAGATAAGACACCTTCCTCTTTCAATAAGCTCTTAATCTCTTAAGTGCTGGCATCCGCTGTGGGCTATTAAGGAAGACTTGGGGGGGGCTGCTTTCTGTCTTTAAGAGCGATGTTTCTCCATTTCTCCTTTAGGGAATAAATGTAACATTCTGCCTTTTTAATATTACCCAAAATATTTCATTCTTCTAGGATGGGGGGAGCTTCCCACAATCCATTGAACTGGTGCATGCAACAAAGCCAATGGTGGGATTCCAATAATTTAACCACTGGTTCTCTGCCCTAATTATTCCTTCCAACAAACAAGATTGGCAAACTGCTCAGCAAGTTAACAACCAGTTCTCCGGAACCGGTGTGAACCAGCTGAATCCCACCACTGAACAAAGCCCATCTGATCAGCTTATATCAGTGGTGGCTAACCTTTTTGGGCTCCTGTGCCAAAAATTGTGCAAACGCTTGCAATCACTTGCTCATGTGCCAGCACCCGGAAGGCAATATGCGCACGTCCAACCCCTGCACATGCTCGCACAATTCCCCTCCCCGCCCCCTTACCTGCACTGTGCCTCAGCTGATTTTCGGCTGGTTTGAGGCCTTTTTCAGCCTCCTAGAGGGTTGAGGAAAGCCTCTGCATGCAGGCTTTGGAGGCCAAATAATAGGCCCATTTCGTCACTTCGGGTATTTCCAGAAATACAGGAAGTGGTGAAATGGGCCTATTACTCGTCCTGCAAAGCCTGCAGAGGCCTTCCTCAAGCCTCTGGGAGGCCAAAAATGGCCTCAAACCAGCCAAATATCAGCTGTGAGATGCGTGCATGTGCAATGAGGTAAGTTTGCCTGCGACTTGTGCGCCAACACAAATGGCTCTGTGTGCCACCTGTAACAAACATGCCATAGGTTCACCATCACGGGCCTACGTGCTTTCTGCATTGTAGACTCCAGATCTCCTGTGGCCTAGGAAAAGAATTACTCCCCTCAGAATGCAGTTCTTGACTTACAATGCTTCGCTTAGTGACTGTTCGAAGTTACAACGGCACTGAAAAAAGTGACCGAAGATTGTTTTCTTACATGATCTTTGCAACACCCCCCCTTTGGTCTTGTGATTTAAATTCAGACGCTTGGCAAACAGACTCGTGTTTATGACGGTCTCAGTGCCCCAGTCAACAGGGAAGACAAATATCGTAACATGGGGGCAAAGCTCACTTAACAGATGTTTCACTTAGCAATAGGCATCAGTGGGGGGGGCTTAGTTGTGGTCATAAGTTGAGGACCGGCTGTGCTTTGCTTTTGAAAGTTACGCTCTGAAATAATGTGGTTTTTAACCTCCCAGGATCCCTACTGAGTGATGCAGCCCGAAGACGTGGCGTAATTTCAAAAAGATAGTTTACTCTTAAATTAAATGATGATTTACACACAGTTGACAAAAGAAAGCCCTGTACAGGCAAAACCAAAACGTTCCAGAATGTTAGGCCACCAGAACAGAGTTCGAATTCTACTTCGGGGGTGGCATGATCCAATACATGCCAGGAACTTCTGCTTTGCTGCAAACGACCAGTGCGTGAGTGGCTGTGAATGACTACCACAACTACCAGTGTTGTGATCCTTCCCATTAAACAGAAGTGGTGTCATACAAGTAGGCCCCGAGCCCACATTCAAGGGGTCCTTCCATCTAAGTGTGAAGTGTGGCTTCCCCAACAATCACAGGATTGTCAGCTGTTCCTTGGGGATAAACATTACGGGACAACGCGCCATAGTCCTGGCCAATGCACCATGGCCAACTTGCCCTGGGACAAACGGAACGGGACAACTCAATGCAGCCAATTCGGCATGGGACAATTCGACAATCCCATTAAATTGTTTAAAAGAATTTAAAAATGCTTTTAATTGTTGTCATTCCCATTTCGTTTTGTCCCTCCTTTCTAAAAAAAAGATTCTATTCCACCATTCCTTCAAAATTAGTGTAACACGTGGTGAGTCTTTCCACGGAAAGTTGGCCGCGGTGAGCCAGCTGTGGCAAGTTGGGATGTGCGGTGAGTTGTCATGGGATCCAGGGAGAAATATTCAGAGACCCTTGGCCTTTTTCTGATCTGGGACCAGCAATGGTGGTAGGCTTGGGCCGATTGCATCTTTTCCGCGTTCTCAAACAGGCGACACCAGATTCCCTTCTGCCCAGAGTGCTCACTGCATAAGTAGCCATGGCACTTAAGACTTATATACCGCTTCATGGTTCTTTTACAGCCCTGTCTAAGTGGTTTACAGAGCCAGCCTCTTGCCCCCAACAATCTGGGTCCTCATTTTATCCACCTCGGGAGGACGGAAGGCTGAGTCAACCTTCAGCCTGGTGGGATTTGAACTGCTGGAAATGAGCAGTCAGCGTGCAATACTGCATTCTAACCACTGGGAAGGAAGGCAGGGAGGGAGAGAGGACTAGTACTTAGACTTATACCCTGCTTCACAGTGCGTTTACAGCCCTGTCAAAGCAGTTTACAGAGTCAACCTCTTGCCCGCAACTATCTGGGTTCTCATTTGACCCACCTTGGAAGGATGGAAGGATGAGTCCACCTTGAGCCAGTCAGGATCGAACTGCTGGCAATGAGCAGAGTCTGCATGCAATACTACATTCTAACCATGATGACACAGCTCTTCCTCCCTCCCTCTCTCCCTTCCTTCCTTTCTTCCCTCCCTCCCTCCTCCCTTCCAACTTAGCAATAGCACTTAAACTTATATACCGCTTTCCAGTGCTTTCCAGTGCTTTCCAGCCCTCTCTAAGCTGCTGATAGAGTCAGCCTCTTGTCCCAACAATCTGGGTCCTTATTTTATGAACCTCGGAAGGAGAGAAGGCTGAATCAACCTTGAGCTGGTTAGGATCGAACTGCTGGCAGTGAGCAGAGTTAGCCTGCAATACTGCATTCTAACCACTGTACCACCATGGCAGAGTTAGCGATAGTGCTTAGACTTATGTACCACTTCACAGTGCTTTGCAGCCCTCTCTAAGCGGTTTACAGAGTCAGCCTCTTACCCCACACAATCTGGGTTCTCATTTTATCCACTCCGGAAGGACAGAAGGTGGAGTCAAGCTTGAGCCGGGTGAGATTTGAACTGCCAAATTGCAGGCAGTCGACAGGCAGCAGAAGTAGCCTGCAGTACCGCACTCTAACCACTGCACCCATGGTGGTTCCACAGGCGAATGCCACAGGAAGCCAAAGCCCCCCGAGTTGTGCATCCAGACGTTCAAACGAAAGTGGCCTTGCAAGGGCCCTCGTTCTCCTCTTTCTTCTCGCTCCCGGCAGCTGAGAAAGCGGGGAGGCTGGATGTCCTTTGAGTTCTCGATGGTCTTCTTGGCTGGCCGGCCCTGAACTCGGAGACACCGCCGTGGAAAAGGACGCGGCTCTCTGGTTCAGGACAAAACCACGGTGGGCCTTGCGATGTTGTCACGCTGTCCACATCGATGACGCCATGGATTGGGAGTTCAGGTCTGCCAATTTCCTTCCTGATCCCGGCAGGGCAGACGTCACGATGAAGGTTTGGGCAGGTTGGGTCTTCGAGGCTTCCCTCACTCCCTCGGGGGTGGGTTCTAGGCTTATGGAGCGGACCTAGAACACAGAGGCAAAAAGGAAGAGGGAAGATGACAGGGCTTCGCACTGTGTGAGCCCACGAGGTTGCGACGCTATTTTCTTTCCCTCTGCTTCCTTAGAATGACCTTGCTTCCCTCAAGCTCTGGGAGGGCGAAAACGGCCTCAAACGGGCAGAAAATCAGCTGGGAGGCGCGTGCATGTGCAGTGCAGGTAAGGGGGTGGGGCGGGGGTGTTGCACGCGCCTGCACAGGGGGGTGAGGCACACTGCATTGTAGATGCCGGCACGCATGCGCATGATTACCCGTGCATGCACCTTCAGCACACAACGAAAAGTTTCGCCATCACTGCTATAGAGGGTCAACTTGGTGTTTTTTGAATGTGTGTAAGCCGGTGTAACAAACAGCGCAACAAGCATAACAGGGAATGATTCCTGAGGCATTCAACATCGGAAAATACCTGGTCTGAATTTCTCGGAGGCCATTTTGGACTCAGTGGGGCTTCCCGTCTCAGAGAGGGTCAGCCTGCGGTTTGGGGGGCTGCCGATGTCCCCCTTGGGCACCAGGCTGAGGTCTGCCACGATCACGTCTTCTTCCTCCATCGTCTCCACCTCTTCTTTCCATCTCGGGTTGCCCTGCAAAAGCAGATTCGGGGGGCGGGGAGAAGTGGCGGGGACGGGTCCCTTGCCGGCCGCCTGACCAAGGGCCATGGGCAGCCCCAGTGCCTTCTCTGGACCTCGTTGTCCAGCCACCGAGTCGCTTGGGGGTTGCGGGCAACTTCGCTCCTCCGGGCTGCTTTCCTCCTGACCGTCAGGATGAGGCGTTCTCGCGGAAGGGCCCGCAGGTTCCCAGGGGACAGATGTGGAAATGCCGGCCTGGCACGGGGGCATTTGAAGGAAGTCAGGCAAAATCAGGTCTTCTTTGCGTAGCAACCCTCGCTGGTCGTCAGCTCGGTTGCTCTGGACTTTGGATACAAGTTCGAAAAATTCTATGGCAAAAAACCCAGAAGTTTGAGAGTCAGCATTGCAAAAGCCCACCGCTTTAACTTCCAATGGTCATTAAATAAACCTATATCTGCAGTCTTCGACTTATGACAAGAGAGCTCAAAATTCCTGTTGCTAAGTGAGACAGTTGTTAAGTGAACTTGCCCCATTTTACAGCCTGTTTCTTGCCCCCGTGGCTAAGGGAAGGCCTGCAGTTGTTACGTTAGCAACACAGTTGAGCATGTGGAGTCTGCAAAACAGTCGTTAAGTTTGAAAAACGGTCACAAGTCACTTTGGTTCAGGGCTGATGTCACTTTGGAGCGGTCACTGAACAAACGGTTGTAACTACCTCTACTGTCCCCTCCTCTCTTGAAGGTTTTCTTCCAACATGGAATTAAACTCCATGCGGGGAGATCCAATTTTTTAATCTGCTTCAAACCTGTCCTGCTTGGAGTTAAGCAAGCATCAGAACGGACAGCCTTGAAGATCAAACATTTCCAACCCTTGCACTCTCGTTCTGGAATCTGAATTACAAATCAAAAAGAGTTTCATGGCCAAAGAAGAATAACAAGAGTTGGAAGGGACCTTGGAGATCATCTAGTCCATCCGCCCCACCCACCCCCGCCACCTGCCCAAGCAGGAGACCCTACACCATTTCTGACAGAGGGCAGTCCAGGCTCTTCTTGAAAGCCTCCAGGGATGGTAAATGAATTAACAGATTTAACAGAGTTGGAAGGGACCTTGGAGATCATCTAGTCCAAACCCCCCGCCCCGCCCATGTAGACCCTACACCATTTTTGACAAATGGCAGCCCAGTCTCTTCTTGAAAGCTTCCAGGGATGAAGCTCCCACAATTTCCGAAGGCAACTTCTGTTCCACTGGTGATTGTTCTCACTGTCAGAAAGTTTCTCTTTATTTCCAGGTTGACTCTCTCCTTGTTCAGTTTCCATCCATTATTCCTTGTCTGGCTTTCAGGTGCTTTGGAAAATAGCTTGACCCCTTCCTCCTCTCTGGGGCAGCCCCTCAAATATTGGGAACACTGTTCTCCTGTCTCCCCTGGTCCTTCTCTTCACTACACTAGCCAAGCCCAGTTCCTGCAACCGTTCTTCACATGTTTTAGTCTCCAGTCCCCTCATCATCCAGGTTGCTCTTCTCTGCACTCTTTCTAGAGTCTCAAATATCTTTTTTTTACCGTGGTGACCAAAACTGGATGCCGTACTCTAGGTGTGGCCCTACTAAGGCTTTATAGAGTGGTAGTGGTAACTCATTTGATCTCGATTGAATCCCTCTAGTTAATGCAATTTAGGATTGCATTGGCTGTTTCTGGCTGCTGCTGCACATTGCTGGCTCCTATTCAACTGGTTGTCTACTAAGACTCCAAGATGCCAGCGGACGTTTCTTTGCCATAGTTTATGGAGGAATTTTGCCCCCCCCCCCCGATATTTACTGTAAGGTAGTCGTCAAGATACTATTGCAATCGGGCTATTTTATGTGCCAGGATGTGTTTTCCGCAGACAACACAGGCTCTGGCTAGCATTAACATCATCACAGAAAAGCAATAAGAGGACAAAGGAACAGCTCAGCAAAGGAATAGCTCAGCTACCCCCTCGTGCAACCTGTGTGTAAACTAGCCCTGTGGGTTCTGGGAGGAGAGGCACAAAACCAGATCAAGAAAGGGACATCAAATACAGCTCGTCCGCAACTTATGACTGCAATTGGGCCCCTTGTTGTTAAAGGAAATGCACGTTAAATGAGTTGTGATCTCACGTTACGGCCTTCCTTGCCACGATTGTGAAGCGAATTTGCCAAAATCGTAACGTTACTACAGCTAGTCCTTGGCTTACGACCACAACAGAGCCCTGAAATTTGCTGCTGCTAAAGGGAGACGTTGGTTTAAAGGGAGCGGCTGCCCCGCTTTATGACTTTTCTTGCTGTGGTTGCAAAGTGAATCGGGCTTCCCCGTCGACTTCGCTTGTGGGAGGCCGGCAAAATTGGGATCGTGGAACACTCCCCTAGCGCCCCGGGGGACACAGCGACTGTCATAACTATGAGTCAGTTGACAAGAGTCTGGGTTTTGATCATGGGGGACACTGCGATGGCCGTAAGTGTGAAAAACGGCCGTAAGTCTCTTTTCCCAGTGCTGTTGTAACTTCAAACAGCCACTCAAAGAACTGTTGTTAAATCGGCTGGTGGACTGTCAACGGTCTGGACGTTAATGGGGAAACGACAGAAGAGAATATTGGTACCTCAGGGTGGAACTGTGGGGCCCTGTCATAACTCGAGGACAACCTATGATTAGGTGGTAAAATGGCCACAAAAGAAGTCTGTAACCTTGATAAGAATTCAACTGGCCTTGGTGTGGATCTGGGATTCTACCGGTTCAGCCCGGTTCAGGTGAACCGATTGCTCTGAAGATCAGCTGGGAGCGAACCGGTTCGCTCGGAAGACCAAGGTATTTCCTTTTTTCCACCCACTGATCAGCTGTTTTCCCAAAGATCAGCTGTGCCATGAGATTTAGATTAGCTAGAAAGCAAGAAATCATTGGATTTTTTGTTTTCTAGCTAATCTAAATCACACGGCACAGCTGATTCCCTCCACCCTCGCTGTTGTTCTGAGGCCCAGTAGGCAAAAAAAGGGGGTGTGGGGCGTGTGTGTGTGCTGCATGGGCCCCCGGTGGCCCCTTTTGCTCTCAGGCAGCTTCCCTGTGGCCCAGTAGGGAAAAACAAAAAACACCCCCCATGCCCCCCCAGTCACATGACCACCTGGCTATGCCCACCTAGCCACACCCACAGAACCGGTAGTTAAACATTTTTGCATTCCACCCCTGCCCCCCACAATCTTTTGGGTACTGGTCCCATGGAGAAAGGGTTTTTCCCATGGATCGGAGGGGATGTGGTTTGTGGACGGGGCTTTGCTTGTTTGTGTGGTCTGGTTCCTGGCATGTGGGCCGGGGGTGGGATTCAAATAATTTAACCACCGGTTCTCTTGCCCTCATCAGTTCTTCCAACAACCAGCTCGCTAAAGTGCTCCGAAAGTGAACAACCGGTTCTCCTGAAGTGGTGTGAACCGGCTGAATCCCACTACTGATGCGGGCCCTGTGTGGGTCCACGGATCGAGTGTTAACTCGTAAAACATTCCTATGCATGCTTTCAAGTTGCCGTAAACAATGGGGGGAGGAGGGGGAATTTGAAGGAGCAGGGCGACAGTTTAAAATGAGACGTACATTCCACCCTGATCTTAAAAAGATTGTAGCTAACCTACCGGATCTTCCGCCCAAGAAATTCCTTCGTTGGAGAACATGATTGATGACATGCAGCCCGGTTGGAGAATCTGATTTATGACACACCCAGAAGGGAGGGGAGGAAAGAGGGTCACAGGTGACTATAAATTACGTACACCAGAGTTGGCTTCGTACTGATTAATGCTGCTATGTTGCTCCTAATAAATCTTTTGAATTCTTTTGAAGCTTGGGCCGGGGCGCATGATTTAATGAGGGCAACTGCCAGACCGCTGGCAGCAAGCCACTGAGCAGTTGGGGACCCCTGGTGTAATAGAGCCACATCGCCACAAGCGGAGAGAAGCAACCCAGGACAAGTCATGAAACTTGAATTTTTCCTTTGCAAAGTATTTCACAAGGTGGGGGGGAACGTACCTACCTGGCCGGTGGGCCAACAGGGGATCTTTCAGCTGTCCAAAATTGCCTCGAATGCAGATGCAGCATTGCGGTGAGATCCCAGACCTGCCACTCTGATCTTACGGTCCTTCCTTAGGCTTTGGATCCAAGGCGGGGCTAGAATTCCTGGTCTCCCAGGTTTCTAGCCTGGCACCTTGGCCACTAGACCCAACCGTCTCTCTACACAGTAAGAAAAGTTTAGGCTGAGAGTGCGGTGGTGGGGTAACGAGCTGGAAGGCAAGTCAGAAGGCAAAGTCTGCTGTGAGAAGGCTTCGTGATTCAGGCTAGCCACAAAAGGAGGATTGTCCTAATCATCATCGTTTAAAAATAGACACCTGTCCAGCAATAGAGAGGATTGCTCCTCCATCAAAGAAGCTGCAGGAAGAGATTCCTGCAGGAGACTGGACTACATGATCTCGGGGGGGGGGGTTCCCTTCAACCTTTGCATTTTGAGGATTCTATACAAGTTATGCTTCCCGCCCCTTGACCTGCTTGGGTGACATCCAGGAGCTCAAATGCCAGCAAAAGCATTTCATAGTATGCTACCAGTTCAGCCCGGTTCGGCCAAACTGGTAGTTCCGATGATCAGCTGCTGGGCCCGCCTGTCCTTTACACACAGGGCTCGCAGAAGGTGAGTTGCAAATGTTGCGCGTGTGCAAATGCTCACACCGAACCAGGAGGAAAAAGTGTTCAACCCCCCACCACCACTGCAGCACACCATTAGATGCCCTCTCTTTATTCCCATCCCCTTGAATGGCCAAGCTAGGAGGCTTTTCCCAACACTTCCCTCTGTGAAGGATCCAAGAAAGCTTCACCTACCTGCTGAAGGTGTTTGGTGAAGGGAAGCCTAGTAGTCGGACAGAGGTGCTGGGAGTCAGGTCCTCTACCGTGTTGGTGGTCCAAAGTCATCATCTGGGCTATCCACCAAAGCCATGGCTTTGCTGTTCGGTGGGACAGGTGCCCCACCAATTATTGAGTAGAAGTTCCTCAAAGAGAGGTCCTACCTTATACTCACCTGACAGTGAGAGCAATTAAGCAACGGAACAGCCTGCCTCCCAGATCTGTGGGTGTCCCATCGTTGGAGGTCTTCAAGAAAAGATTGGGCTGCCCCTTGTCTGGAATGGCATGAGGTCTCCTTGCCTTGAGCAGGGGGTTGGACTCAAAGACCCCCAAGGTCCCTTCCGGCCCTATCACCAAGAGTCTTCTGAACCACAGAATGAACCGATTGCTGAATTGCACAAACATAGTTTTCTAAGAAGAGACTGGACAGCCGTTTGTCTAGGATGGCATGAGGATTCCTGCCTTGGGCAGGGGGTTGGTCTTGGTCCCTTCCAACCCCAGGACCCTATGATTCTAATTGAAGATGTGGCTCGTTTGAAGCTCTTGAGAGTTGTGGCAATACCAAGGTGATGCCTGCGCAGACGCTAAACACCTTGGGTGGAAAAACACTTGTCTTTCTCTCTGCGGAGAAATCATGCCTTGTTAAGGGTTGCAAGCAAGGTGGCGACACCCATAACCATCAAATGTCCCATTGGACCCTGTCCTTGAGACCAGCCTGGTGTCATCCCTGAAGCTGACCTAACCAAAGCCATTTTGAGGCTTCAGGGTTGCCAGACTGGAGCTAGGGGATAGGGAGGGGGGGAAATAGAGATAGCTGGGGTTTTGTAGTCAAAACAAAATATTTTCTCCTGGGAACCAAGGACATTCCCACCGATGGTCAGAGAGGGGAGGAGTGAAGTCACCAGGCAGACGGATGACACTTTGATTGGACCATGTGACTGTTTTTGGGAAGGACAAAACTTGTACTTTTAACTAGGTGAATACCACAAGAATATTCAGAGTCAGTTTTCACCAGCCTGTGCCAATATGATATATCCAATAAACCTGTTCTTTGAGGAATTCACCTGCCTCGTAATTCTCTTTGCTGTGGGTGTATTACCTGGAACCCTGACACCTGGACTTTCATCGGAGGTGGCCCTATCATCTTTTTGGTCTTTTGTGTGTCCACCTCCTGATCCTTGGACCCAAACTGCACCCGAGAAGATGGGACTGACCGAACCACTCAGCCCCACCTCATTCCAGAAGTGTCAGCTAGGGGATCTCTGCCCCACCACCCCGGTCTGACCCTGACTCTTCCAAGGAGACCCTTGGTGCCAACGTGGCTAGTCCATAGGAACAGGGTGTCAACTCATAAAATATTTCTATGGTCTTTTAGAGCTGCCAACAGAAAAGGAGGGGGGAGCAGTGGGGCTGCTTGCAAACCGAAAGTGCATTCCATAAATGTTTTCAGAGATAGTAACTAGGTGAACAAAGTTTCTGCCGCGCAAAATTCTAACTGGAGAGCCTGATTGATGACTCTGGGCTATGGATGTGTCCCATTGGAGAATATAAATTATGATACACCCAGGGGGTGGGGAGAAAACCAGGGTCAAGGGTGACAATGAATGATGTGTCTCAGAGTCAGCTATACCCAGGCAGTGCTGGCATGTTAACCCCCAATAAAAATTTTTTTTAAGTTTTGGAAGTTTGGCTCGAGACTCATGATTTGAATGGGGGGTAACTGCCGGAATCCTGACACAGGGAGCCTGCTACTAATCCAGTGTGAACGCAAGATCCTTCATGATCTCTCAGAGCCTGGTTTCTTCCAAGGTGGTTTGGCGATAGGAATTTTATAGGTGAAATGGCTGCTTTGGAAAAAAGGGGTGTGTTTGTGTAGTAAACAAGGACTTGAAAAACAGGGAAAGGCACAGCGAGTGAGACATACCCAAGGCTGGCCTATGATCGGTGCTGGTCTGCAATCGGTTTAACAACTGGTTCTGTGAGCGCACACGCGCAGCATTCAAAAACGATGGGGGAGGGGGGAATCCAATTCACTTAACAACCATGTTTCTAACCTAGCAACCGCAGTGATTCGCTTAACAATGGGGGCGAGGAAGATGGTGGAAATGGGCTGAAACTCCCTTAAAAAAGGCTCTCGCTTAACAAGAGAAATTTTGGGCTCGATTGTGGTCATAAGTCGAGGACTACCTCCACTGGCACCTAAGCTCGCAACAGGTAAAAAAAGAACTGTCTCAAGCGTGGAATATCCCGGCATATTTTGCGTATCCCTAATTTGCAAAACACGCCCCTGGCTTCTGAAGAAGCAGTTCAATCTTTGTTGCCTGCCAAGTGTTGTCTTTAATGCGCCAGAAGGGAGAAGCCACGGTGGCAAGTTGGAAAGCAGAGGTGGAGGGCCTGGGGAAAGGATCCCTTAAGCCCCGGCCTCTCCAGATCAGTGGTGGGATGCTACCGGTTCGTCCCAGTTTGGCTGAACCGGTAGTAAAAATCACTACTGGTTCGGCCGAGTAAGAAAGAGCCCTCCGACAATCAGCTGAGTGCATAAAAGACCGAAAAGCGCATGGGGTGGTGGGAGGCCTAGCTTTTCGTTTCTTCATCCTCTCAGCTGATTGGCTTGTTAGGTACACATGCGTTAGGGGTGTGCACACGCACGCACAATCAGCCACCAAATTGGTAGCGATTAAGGTAGGATCCCACTACTGCTCCTGATCGAGGGTCACATGGATCTATCAGGCAGCAGCTCAAGGTTCTGAGGCAGGGAGGCTCCCTTAACCCAAAGCAGAAACTTCCGGAAAGACTGGGCTGGTGGAAGCCGCGATGAAGACATCAACTATGGATTGATAAGCAATGCAATGGGATAACTCGCCGTGGCCAACTCGCTGCGAGCCACCTCGCCCTGGCCAACCCACTAGGCACAAGCCAACAATTCTGTTTAATTATTTAAAATCATTAAATGTATATATATATATATTTAATTTGTCTCATTCCCGTTGCGTTTTGGTCTCTCCTCTGGCAGCCTTTCTTTAACGATTCTATTCCTCACCATTCCTTCGATCTTAGTATAACTTCTTGTCCCACCGTGAGTCATTCGGCAGCGAGTTGGCCGAGGCAAGATGGCCACGGCAGGTTGTCCTAGACCCAACGATGGATTGATAAGAAAAGCCATCATGAACCGCTGTTTTCCAAAGAAAAGTTGAGGATTCAGGAGGTCGGAGCGACCTGGCGATGACACCACGGGTACCCTGTGGGTAGATCACAGAATTCCCCCTTCCTTCTCTTCTCCCCAGCCCCCGCCCAGCGTGGGGCAGGGGCTCACTTCGAGACGAAGCGAATGAGCACCAAGAACCAGGCAGGGCTCAGCTCTGACGTCCTTCACATTCGTCCCAAACACTTCCAGCAATACAGGAACGTAACTTCAGAGCGAATGAAGTTTATTGCATCGCCAATATACATGGCCGGAAGGGATCATTGCACTCCACTTGGGTCGCCACGGCAGACGAGACACACACACTACTGCATATATTTTAAAAATGACATACCCTCTGCTTCTTCCAAATTCAAATGCTGGCGTGTGTTTTTTTCAGTCTGAGCAAGGCGGGCTTCTTTGGGGGCCAGGTGGGCTTCTCGGGAGTTTTTCCCCGGCTCGCCTTTTAATTTAAAAGAATTGTGCTTTCCAACAGGTCTTCCTTCGCCCTATAGGGGAAGCCAAAGGGAACACGAATTACATTGACACAACAATGTAGGAACAAGAGCCAAATCTGTCTCAGGGGACCTTTGGCCAGGACAAAGCTCCCATCATTTCCACCACCACCCCATCTTCTTGTAGGCTGTGATGAACGGGGGTGTGGCACAAAAGCAACACAGTCACATAAGTAAGAGTCCCTTTAATAGCAATAGCATTTAGGCTTATATACTGTTTTATAGTGCTTTGCAACCCCCTCTAAGCAGTTTACAGAGCCAGTCTCTGTCCCCAACAATTTGGGTCCTCATTTTACCCACCTTGGAGGGGTGGAAGGCTGAGTCAACCTTGAACCTGGTGGGATTTGAACTGCCAAATTGTAGGCAGCTGGCTGCAGAGGTAGCTTGCAGTATTGCACTCTCACCACTGCACCACAGAGGTACCTAATACCTCCAACTTTGCCCCCAATGTCCAGGTTACCTTCAACTGGAGGAAAAAAAACTCTCCCAAGAAAAGTCTTTAAGTGGAGGAAATTCAGTCCCAAAACAAAGTACATGCAAACTGCAATTAAAAATCCAAACAAACCACGCTGCAGCAATTAACTGGACAGGGCAGGGGAAGGAATTGCAGACTTGAAAGGCCAGCAAAACACACACAGTTGGGAAGACGCCAGGAACCCAGATAAGCCTCGACAATACCAGACAATTCACGATTTGCTCTCAACAGTTTGCTGTGCACAACTTCCCTTTTTAAACACTGTGTTTCCAGCGGCAGCTAATGAAGGGAATCAGGGCCCTTTCCTCCCCTGTAAGCCACGCAACTCACGTTGCTCCCTTCTCCGTGCCTCCGTGCGTGCCCTAGGATGAAGAGGGGATGGGCCTGGATCTTCCTCTGAATTCCCTCTGCCTTGTTCTACCTCTCCCCTGCTCTGCCCAGCCGGACTTCCCCAGTTTCTTCCCCAGTCCACAGAGCCACACTCCCACTCTCGCTCAGCCTCCCCCCCCCGAATCAGATTCCGACAGGGGCATGACATAGGGCCTCTGCAAATGCCCCACCTCACCCTGGGACCCCAACATGAAACTCCAGTAATACAGAGACCGCAGGGTCTTCCTAAAAGCTCACAAAGACGCTGACACCCTGGTCAAAGGCAGGGCCAGCTCTCAATGCCTTAGCATCCCAAGCAAAATCATATTTTGCCTCCTTCCGTGAGATACTCTGGCACCTTCTTCTTTCTTTTTTCCTTTTTCTTGAGTTTTCGAGCCTTATGCCAACCATTTTTTAAAATCAGGAAATTTCGTATTTTCCAGTTGAGAGATTAATTTGGGACTTCAGCAGGTGTAACAGGGAATCATTTAAAAAAAAAAAGGCTTTATCAAAGAGCTGAGCAGGAAATTCCACGTTTTTAGATCCGGCATAGAAAATGCCCAGGCTGAGACTTGATAGGGACATGATGTTGTTATTGCAATCACAATTTACTTTGGAAGGAGATCAAGACACAAGATGCCAAAAACAGAGAAGGGACTTTGTTCGCTACAAATTACTGGACTGTAGTCCCAGTATCCACAAGCCTTTTGCTTCATACAATCAAGATCAAGGGAGGTACTAATACCACTCTATAAAGCCTTAGTAAGGCCACACGTGGAGTACTGCGTCCAGTTTTGGTCACCACACTATAAAAAAGAGGTTGAAACTAGAAAGAATCTCAAGAGAAGAGCAACCAGGGTGATTAGGGGACTGGAGACTAAAACATACGATGGACAGTTGCAGGAACTGAGCCTGGCTAGTCTAGGGAAGAGAAGAACCAGGGGAGATGTGATAGCAGTGTTCCAATATTTGAGGGGCTGCGCCAGAGAGGAGGAGGGGGTCAAGCTAATTTCCAAGGCACCTGAAGGCCAGACAAGGAATCATGGATGGAAACTGAACAAGGAGAGATTCAACCTGGAAATAAGGAGAAACTTTCTGACAGTGAGAACAATCAACCCATAGAACAGAAGTTGCCCTCGGAAGTTTTGGGAGCTTCATCACTGGAGGCTTTCAAGAAGAGACTGGACTGCCCTCTGTCAGAAATGGTGTAGGGTCTCCTGCTTGGGCAAGGGGGTTGGACTAGATGACCCACAAAGTCCCTTCCAACTCTGATTTTCTGTTTTATCTGTTTTTTCTCCTTGAAAAGAATTTTAGACTCCCCTTTTGCGGGAAGTGAAAAAAAAAAGAAAATTCACAAGAAGAGTCCTTACAGAGACAAGCCTTTTGTGCAGGCGAGAATTACCTGCAGTTTTGTTACACGGCTTCTATGCGTTCTATCAAGCGTTAGATTGATGGGAAGAGAGGGGGCGAAAAAAAGTCGAACAGGTTATAAGAATTTTTATGCAAAGCTAACAATTCTCTAGTGGATTGAAACAGAGGTAGTAGGGCTCAACACACAGCCTCCGTGGAGCCCCAAAGTTTCGGAGACGTTTGTGAAGTGAACTTTGCCCCCCTGTTTTACGACCCTTTCTCGCCTCCGTTGTTAAGTGAATCACCGCAGTTGATAAGTTAGTAACCTGTGGATCGTGTGATCCTGGGACAATCATAAGTACGAGTCAGTGGCCAAGTGTCTGAATTCGGCTCACTTGCTCATGGAGGAAAGGTCATAACTGTGAAAAATGGTCGTAAGCCCCTTTTTTTTTCAATGCCGCCGTAACTTTGCACGGCCACTAAACGAACCGTTGCAAGTCGGGGGTTACCTTGTATTTAAAGTTTTCCCTTATCTTTACATTAAATAAATAAATAAACAAACTGCAAATTTGTTAACTACTGTCGGGAGGGCTCTGGTGCCAATTTTGGGGTAGGGGGTGGGATGTCTGCGGGAGGGGGCTCTTCCCAGGCTGAAGGATCAACTCTGGCAAAGTCTAAACTCTGCAAAAGGACGGAAATGCTTGCGTTAACTCTTTTTCTCTCTTTTATGCTGTCAAACAGGGACGTCAAGTCACACCTCCTACCGCGGAAAAGCCTTGGTTGATGAACCCAAACGGAGAGCAGGACTCCGGAGCGGGGGGCGGGGGGGGGGCACAATTGTCGGAATCCAGGGGTGGGCTTAAAAAATTTCAGCAAAAGTTTGCTGGCTTCCCGGAGAGATAGCTCTGCGTGCCACTTCCGGCATGCGTGCCATAGGTTCACCATTACGGGTCTAGTTTAATGAAAGAGGAGGACTAGGGGAGACATGATAGCAGAGTCTTCCAATATCTCAGGGGAGTCTGCCCCAAAGAAGAGGGAGTCGAGCTATTCTCCAAAGCCCCTGAAGGCAGGACAAGAAGCAACAAGATAGAAACTCATCAAGGAGAGAAGCAACGTAGAACTAAGGAGGAATTTCCTGACAGTGAGAACGATTAACCTGTGCCACCAGAAGTTGTAAATGCGGCAACACTGGAGATTTTTAAGAAGAGATTGGATAACCACCTTGACTGAAATGGTATAGGGCAGTGGTGGCTAACCATTTTGGGCTTCTGTTGGGCCAAAAATTGTGCGTGCGTTTGTATGCTCGCACGCCAGTACCCGGTAGGCAATGTGCATCCCATCCCATGCCCCCTATGCATGTACCTGCAATCCCCACTCACCCACCCTGGCCGCCGTCTTACCTGCACTACGCCTCACAGCTGATTTTCTGCTGGTTTGAGGCCTTTCTCGGCCTCCCAGAGGCTTGAGGAAGGCTTCTGCAGGCTTAAAACTAGCTCCGTTTTGTCACTTCTGGTATTTTTGGAAAAACAGGAAGTGACAAAACGGGGCTAGTTTTCGGCCTGCAAAGCCTGCAGAAGCCTTTCTCAAGCCTTTGGGAGGCCGAAAAAGGCCTCAAACCGGCTGAAAATCAGCTGTGAGGTGCACGCATGCACAGTGAGGTAAGTTTGCCTGCAGCTCGCGTGCCGGCACAAGTGGCTCTGCGTGCTACCTGTGGCACGCGTGCCATAGGTTCGCCATCACGACGGGCATAGGGTTTCCTGCCCGAGCAGAGGGTTGGACTAGAAGACCTCCGAGGTCCCTTCCAACTCTGTTCTTCTGGATTCTGCAAGACAGATTTTGTGCAACTCTCTCCTGACGCACCCATCAGGTCACACACCGAAGGGTGAATTGGTGAGCCAGGGAAATGCAAACATAATAATAAAGGACCAGCACAAAGCAAATACGGGGCTCTACTCATCCAACGCTCTTAATTCTTGGGAAGAAAATGTTGAAAAGGGAGGGCGGGGGGGAAATCACAGGAGTTTCAAATAATCGAAGAGAACTTACTGTGAGTGCTTGGCTTCCTGCATTAGTGGCTACAGTCGCACTGTGTTTTAAGGATGCTCCTTTTCCCTTGTCTGTGAACAATAGAAATTTAATTCTTTTTTTAAAAAAAACAACCCCATGTTTCCCACTTACACGCTTACTCTTAAGAGGGAACGATCGAGAACGATCACGGCTACTGCACGACGGGCACATGGCCGACTGAGAGTCATTTTGATGCCCTTGGCGGTCACCCCCCTGGGCTCCCTGGAACGGCCTCTGGAAGATCACAGATAGTCCTCGACTTACAACAGTTCATTTGGTGACCATTCAAAGTCACGGCGGCCCAGAGAAATGTGACGGAGGGCCGTTTTTCACAGTTACGGCCTTTGCAGCCTCCCCGCGTTTCACGTGATCCAAATTCAGACCCTGGGCAACTGGTTCATAGTTAGGACCATTGCTGTGTCCCAGGGTAAGAGGTGGGGTGGCCTAGAGGCGGAGCTCTGGCCCCACAATCAGGAGGCTGTGAGTTCGATCCTAGGTAGAAGCAGAAATCTCTCTCTCTGGGCACAATGAGGATATATCTGCCGAACAAAACTCCCCTCTGGCAACAAGAAGGGCATCCAGCCAGGAAACACTCAGCTCCATTCAGTTGCCCAGACTCCACCCCCTTTTGTGACCTTCTGACGAGCAAAAGTCAATGGGGAAGCCAGATTCACTTAAAACTGTGGTACGAGCTTATCAACTGCAGTGATTCACGTAACATGCATGTTCCTAATTAGCGACTGCAGTGACTCACTTAACAATGGAGGCAAGAAAGGCCGTAATGTGTGTTAAAACTCACTTAACACACGTCTCATTTAACAACAAGGAACGATGAGCTGAATTGTAGTGGTATAAGTCGAGGGATGCCTGTATTTGGCAGCTTTACTTGATAGTCCCGAACAGTGGCCAGTTATTCGGCTGGATCCGGCAGGCGGGATCCTGGTTTAGCAAGATGCTTTTCAGCACCGCTTACCTTTCCCCTTTTTCGAAATCTTGTCTTCCAGAATCACCCTCTGCCCATCAAGGCTGGAGATGGGTGCCCCGAGGTCTAAGGGATCTTGCTCGCCGTTCTGTCATCAAATTCAGTGCCGTGGGAGAAAAAAATGGCATTTATTTAGAGGAACTAAATTCGTGGTCAGCACCTTAACAGGACAAATGAAGCAATTTAGATTGAACATATGATCTGTGAGAACTTCGTTTCTTGATAATGAGATGGGTGTAGTAAGTGATAATAGAATGGGATGGAATGGAATAGAATAAAATATAGAATAGAATATAGAATAGAATATAGAATAGTAATAGAATATAGAATAGTATAGAATATAGAACAGTATAGAATATAGAATAGAATAGTATATAGAATAGAATAGAATAGAATAGAATAGAATAGAATAGAATAGAATAGGATAGGATATAGAGTGGGATAAAATAAAATAGAATGGAATGGAATGTAGAATTTGGAGAATGGAATAGAATAGAATATGAAATAGAATAGAATATAGAATAGAATATAGACTAGAATATAGAATAGAGTAGAATAAAGTAAAATAGAGTAAAATAAAACAGAATATAGAATAGAATGTAGAATAGAATAGAAAATAGAATAGAATAGAACAGAACAGAATAGAATAATGAAGAATAGAATGGAATGGAATGTAGAATTTGGAGAATGGAATGGATTAGAATAGAACAAAATATGGAATGGAATAGGATATAGAATAGAATATAAAATAGAATATAGAATAGAATGGAATATAGAATAGAATTAACTCTATTATGACTTTGAATGTACACTAATTGGCATAAATTAAAATGCAATTTTGTTGCATACAGCTCCCAAAAGGTCACCAGCTCCAATATACACTACATAACCATGACAGAATAAATAATAAGAATGTATGCATATCCCCACATATCCGATATGACCCAGAGAAACAACACAGCCTAGCTCAGACGTATATCTGTACACGGAGAGAAAAACAAATCCTGCGAGTTTCCCGGGCAGATGGCCTAGGGAACAAAGCTGTACAGAATCTGGAAGTCCTGCTAGATACCCGTGTTTAATTCACGGGAAATCAAGTCAAGTGGACACAAAGGAATATCAATTTTGTTTTGGTTTTACTTCTCAGTCTATTGTTTCTATACTGCCCGATGTATTGCGAGCTGCCAAATCCAGGAGGCACCAATGCAAATTTAAATATATATATATATATATATATACACAAAGAAATAAAACTTACCTGTAGAGCCTGGAACTCTATAAAATAGAACATGTAGAGAGGAAAGCACTCAGAATAAAACAGCTTAAAAATCCTATCGGTGAGATTAGTGTTGTCTTTTAAAAAAACAAATGAGGTTAAGATTGTTTTATTTACTGTACAGAAAAAATGCCACGCGTTGAAAACTTTAAAAAAAACCCATTATTTTAGTTTAACAAATTACTTACTAGTCTGGCCACGAGGTTATTAAGATTCAGTCCATATTTTGCAACGACTGGACGAAGGACTTCCGTGACCGGCTTGGTGGGTTTAGCCTTTAAACCGACCGATCTGTTTATAGGGACCAGGTCAAGCCTACAATGGATAGATAGACTGAGTGTGTCAACTCATAAAATATTTCTATGGTCTTTTTAGAGTTCCCAACAGAAAGGGAGGGGGGAGCAGTACAGCAGCTTGGAAGTCGAAACTGCATTCCATAAATGTTTTCAAAGATAGTAACTAGATGACCAAAGTTTCTGCCGTGCAAAATTCTAATTGGAGAGCCTGATTGATGGCTCTGGGCTATGGATGTGTCCCATTGGAGAATATGAATTACGATGCACCCAGGGGGTGGGGGAAAACCAGGTCAAAGGTGACAATGAATGATGCATCTCAGAGCCAGCTAGACCCAGGCAGTGGCGGACATGTTAACTCCCAATAAATCCTTATGAAGTTTGGGCAGTTTGGCTCGAGACTCGTGATTTGAATGGGGGTGACTGCTGGAATCCTGATAATCTCGCTTAGCAACTGCCCACCACCACCACCAGGGATACTGCAACCGTCATAAATGTGAACCAGTTGCCAAGCATCTGCTTACAGATTAACAGAGTTGGAAGGGACCTTGGAGGTCATCTAGTCCAAACCACTATCACCCCCGCCCTAACAGAGATCCTACAGCCTCTCTGACAGAGGGTAGTCCAGTCTCTTTTTGAAAGCCTCCAGGCTTGAAGCCCCCACAACTTCTGAAGACAACTTTTCTTCCATTGAATATACAATAACAGTTGGAAGGGAGCTTGGAGGTAATCTAGTCCAACCCCACCCCCCGCCCAAGCAGGAGACCCTATGTCATTTCTGACAAGTGACTGTCCAGTCTCTTTGAAAACCTCAAGTGATGGAGAAGGAAGGAAGGAAGGAAGGAAGGAAGGAAGGAAGGAAGGAAGGAA